TTCCCCCCCCCCCCCCCCAGCCCCGTCTCACCACAAATGACCGTGTCTGTTGCAGCCCAGGAACCCTGAATTCTGCAGCAGGGCCCACTAGCCAACCCCACAACTTCCAGTTGCATACTGCACTACCAGTGGGTTAGACAGAACAGTTCTATAGACTGGAGCCAGCCCATGGGCAGTACGTTTGTACACCCTTGACATGTAGCATGAGGAGAGGAGAGGTGAGGCACGTGTACTCTGTAGATACTGCTAAGATAAAAAAGTCGAAGTGCTTGAGGGAAAGGTGTATTCACCACAGGATGTGTTTGGACAGTAACCTTCATAGAGCTCCAGTTGCTGGTGGGTAATTCTTTTTCACAAAGTCTGTACACTGGCAGTGATCTTTTTTTTTTTTTCTTCCTTTTTTTTCCTTTTTCTTTCTTTGGTGGACAGTGTTTCTACATGTACATGTGCAGTACCTAAATATGTCAGCTGACAACTTGTTTATTTGAACTATTTCTTACTATTGTTTCTTGCTCAAAGTACAGTAACTTGTGTTTTAGGTAGAATAGTATGCATTTCATCTACAGTGTTTAGTCAGTTTGCAATATTTGGAATTATGATCCAATAGAAATACATTCTATAGTTGTGTCTCAGAAGGGTATAGATAATATAACAATTTTTAATGACCTTTTAAGTTTCTTTCCAAACCTTGAGGGTTCTATTGCCTGTCACGTGGATAGTTTAAAATAAATAACTATAAAACTGCTATGTTGTTGTTGCACTTAGAAGCCAGGCATAGATATTACACTTTTACCTATATAAGTGATTGGAAACCTGTCTATACCTGTAACAGAACAGAAGTTTGGCACACAAAACTTGTCTATACCCATAACAGAAGTTCTGCACACACCGATTTAAAAATGGTGGAACCCGGTAAGATTTTCTTCCCTCACCAAAGGGCAAATATGCGTTCTGTTCACTACCGTTCTAAACTATGCTGCTTACAGAAAACCACATAACTTAGATCAATTCCACCTCAGGCTTTTTGAATGTCTGTACTTAATCAGAGAATCTAATAATAAAACCTGGGTCCATTGAGCCAGGTGCTGTACAGATGTAACAGAATGACTGTTCCCAGAGATGATCCTAGCAGGGCACGGGGCCCAGGGCAAATCAGCCTGTGTGGGGCCGGACATAAAGAAGCCATCATGGGGGGGAGGTGGTGGGCATCTGGATGTGAAGCCAGTGGTGGCACGGAGCCACCAGCACTAGGTGGGCCCTGAAGGAAGGGCTGTGACAGCTCCTCCCGGCTCCGCCTGGGGCGGTTGTTCCTATTCACCCCCCGCTAGGGATGACCCTGACTTGAAAGACCTAACAACAGTCCAAGTACATATTAATAAGTTAAAGATACTAAAATATGTTTAATCAAATGTTATGCTAAAAGGCTTTAAATTGATCACAGCAGGGGTCAGAAAGGATTTTTCCTTTCGTACAGCAAGGTACAATCTACAACTCATTTTTGAAGGGCTAAGATTTTTACCTAAGCATTGGTTATTGGGCATTACTAGAGGCAAGACACTTCAGCTGATTGAAGTAAAGGTCTGAATCAGCATGGGGTACAGTGCTGGGGGGGAATAAAGCATCTTCGTAGGGCTCTGGAGGTGAGAGTTCCAGCATTACTCTAGGGTCTTGCGAAAGACCACCTTCAGCAGCCTCACCTGCATATAGGTACCTGATATTTGGGATGGGGAACCAAGAATGGCCTGAAGTGATGCTGGCCCCTGTGTGCCATTGGATATAGGAAACTGTTGTGCCTCAGTCACACTATCCCAATGAGCCTGAGGACTTGTGCAGAACCTTGATTTGACTGAGTCAGTATGGTAGGTTCTCTGATTCTAGAGATGTGTTTGGAGAATAAAGGAATATGTTTAATATTTTCTTCCTTTGTGTTTTAAAACTGAAATGCAGAATTACAAAAACATTTAGGCTGGGTGGGGCAAATCTACCCCTTGGATGCCTGTGAATATGAATTTGCATAAAGATGTCTTTTCTTTCTGATTGCCTTTTTAGGTTGTACTTGTCAGTGGACATCTGGACAGCTGGGATGTTGGACAAGGAGCCATGGATGATGGTGGTGGAGCATTTATATCATGGGAAGCGTTATCTCTTATTAAGGATCTTGGTAAATATTTAGTCAAAGAAATATTCTAATATGTAAGATTTCTAAGATGTTCAGTGTAATTTTTAAAAAAATGGAAGATAATATATGCCTTTAATCTTCTCCATCCTGAGCACAAATATTCACCGCTCAAAGGAAATAGCCCTCACTTTTACATCACCTTTTTCTTTACAGGACAGAATTAACCAGTCACTTTCTAAAAATAAAGCATCTGCAGGATTATATAAAAAGAGAGTTTAACTATAGCTTTAATATGAGTGCAGATTTGGAAGACTGATTCAGAAATGAGTTTATTGATTTAAGACAGGGGCTTTCAACCTTTTTAAGTTAGTGTACCCCCTTACTGATTGATGAGTGAGGGGGGTCTCCCATGCGCAGTAGCAAAAGCAAGCAGAAGCCCCAGCGGCGAAACATGTTTGTGCTGTCTCTTTAAACTCATCTTTATTTGTGGTACTGTAGCCATTCTTAGTATAATTTCTTTTTGATTTTCAGGTCATTAACAAGTTCATGATGCAGCCCTAATTGTTTTTTTACTATGCTTCCTATCTTTTTTTCTCACAACTTCTATCTTGCCATTCCTTATAGTGACCTTTATAGAGGATAAAATTGTTAGAATCACAGAATAGTAGTGTTGGAAGGGACCGGAGGAGTTTCATAGTTTCATAGATTTAGGGTCGGAAGAGACCTAATA